CAGGTCACCAACTGGCTGGTCAATAGTGAGAATCATGAAAGGGCAATTAAAGTCGGGCACCTGTGTGCGCCCGACCACGAGTATATCTTGCCAACTGCCGACTGCCAAACAAGTTAATTGCACAGACCGCAGGCCACACGACACTTGATAACCGCGAAACCACAACAGTCGTAAGTTGGCTTAATAATTACAAATGCATAATTTAATAGTAACGAATGATGAGAATTGGCCGCAGGCACCAAACGGTAGTCGAGTTCGAAGGGGCGATGCTTAGAAGTAACGAGTGATTTAAGGTTGGGTTAAAAGTCATAGCCATGGCCGATTAGCTGCAAAGCTCAGTCTTCGATGACGCACATGATGTTTATGCCACTCTTGCCCAGATTGACGCACTCCAGAGCAGATTCCTGGTGCTGTCGCATGTAAATCAGGAACTGTATGATAACATAGAACAGGTTATTCCTATCGTAGACGCAGTTGTGCAGTTCCTTGTCACTAATGAAGTTAAATTTTGGGTTAAGTAGATTGCTGCTAGTCAAAATGGCACAGTGGGCCTTGTTGTGAACTGCGTTCACCACGTCCTTGGTGGACCGCTTCTCGTCGCGAATAAGCACGTAGCGGGAGTGGAAAGGTCGTCCGCCGCACTGCGGCAACGGCATCAGCTGGCTATCCAAGTACACGCAAAACAAATGGAATAGTATCTGCAAAATGAGGTTACAATTAAAGATCTTACTTCCCGATTTTATTTACTTACAGCTGCATCGGTGGGCAAATGCTCGCCCCACTCCTGACCGTTGTGCGTCTTGCCCGAGTTCCAGCGGTAGTCGGCTATGCAAGAGCCCTGTGCAAGCTCCTTAATGCGCTGCACCAGGTATTCTTGGTTGCTGAAGGTGTCCAGGAAAGGTAAGAGCATAGGCAGCATGGGCGCACATGTTTGCACGAACTGTTGGTTTTCGGCTGTTTTGCGTAATCTCTCCAGACTCACAGATCCAATTTTAAGGTCAATCAGACCTCGCTGGCGAAAGACATCGTCCACATAATTGATCTCTTTGACCAAACGCTGCAGTATAGTAGTGGAAATCCACTAGAAAATGGAAAATCTTTAGTATGTTGCAGTAGAACGTCGTTCAGGCTGCTTACAAATCTTAGATTCGCCACATATTGCGACAGTTTGTCCGTGGAGATGCGCTTGATGACCTCCGAATTGCTGTCCCTGAACTGGAAGCCGCCAAACTCCTCAATCGAGGTGGGAGCATTTTCCGTAGAAACAGCCGGAGCGGGCGACAGCTGGTAGATGGTGGTCTTGAGCATATAGGCCGCGTTGTTGCAGTAGTTCCAGAAGGAGTTGGCCGTTCCCATGCTCTGGACATTGGGTGTATCCGAGCTGTCCACCATGCTGCGTTCGCGATCCGCCTGCTTCATTAGACTGGTCAACTTTCGAGTATCGGTCATGAAGTCATCGCGGCGCACCTCCGCATACGGGGACATGTAGGTGGACTCGTTGCTCAGGTTGCTGGCATTCAAAGAGTTGTTTTGCACCATCGATGAGTTGTAAGAGGCGTTTTGGTTCGTCTGTTGCGGCGTTCTTGTGGGACTGGGGCTGCGGCGCATGGACTGCGAGCCCCAGCAGGAGTCCTCAAAGGAGGAGTGCCAGTTGATGATGGGTATGTCATCCTCTACATCAGTGTCGGGTTCGTAGCTGCGTGGTTTCATTACAGCTTGGGCGCAAACTGTCCGGAAAGAGTTCTCTACAGCAATAAAACAAGTTTAGTGAATAGGTTAAACAAGGTTCCTTCGTATTGCTCACCTTCCTTGCCGTCCAGCAGCCACTTTTGGATATCGCTACCCTCTACTTGGTCCCCGCCAAACCATAACCACAAATACTTGCCGAAGCAGGCCAGCGCACTTAGGCCAATAAGGGTCGTAATGGTGCACTCCGCTAGAAACCAGTAGGTCCGGTAGGCGGACCGACATGCCTGCCAGATGTCGAAGAGGAGCAGCGACAGCAGCACCACATTTATGGAGCACCACTTGAGGTAATGCCGCGCTTGGGCGCCTCGCAATCGCAAGTCCAGGCTGCGGTGCACCACCGGGTTTTTACTCAACGGCGAGCTGAGGGGTATTGTATGAAGGGTTAATTTTCTGAATTCTGGACTGGTTCCTGCCACTTACCAATTGCTCCGTGTGAAATTCATTGTCTAGTTACTATTAATGTTAAGAAAATTGTCTGAAGATGTCGAAAATGCCGGGAAAACTTGTTTTTAAGTGATCGCACCTACAAGGAGATAAAATACCACAAGGTCAACAAATAAATACCGTTTTGGTTAAAACGCGTTTTGCTGGTGTTGTTCTATGACTCACGGCCGGTCATGCCTGAGTGTTAAGGGCACCTTAGCGGAGACATTTTCCTTAGCGGAGACATCTACCAATCGGCGATGTTTTAGCGTATATCGAATTTAAAAGCAAACATCCCGGTTTTTTTTTATGGCCTTTCCTTTCAGTATTGGAACACAAAATAATAAAAAAATATGAGGCTTTTAAATGATTTCAATGCTTAATACGATTCACCCACTCTATATTACTCAGCTTGTATTATATATTTTTTTACATTAGTTATAAAATTAACTGTGATATATTTAATCTTTGTTTCTAATTTTGCTTTACAAAACTAAAATTTGTAAAATTTTTAAAAATTGATGGAGTTAAAAAATTTTTAAAAGTGAGTGGGTCTTATTTGTCCTTTGCCATTAAAAATCCAATATAAAAAATTTGTTTTGTTCCCTGGTAAATAAAGTTTTCTTTTGATATACAAATTGTGTAACATATTTAACTAAAGAAGAATTCTCAATAACCTAAAAATTTAAAAAAAAAATCCTAAAATAATTAATGTTTTATAAAAATCCAGAAAGTTTACTTTAGTAATGTATTTAGTTGATCTTTATCAGAGCACAAAAAATGTTCTTTGTCCACTTGGGCTCGTCCGGGAATTGAACCCGGGACCTCTCGCACCCGAAGCGAGAATCATACCTCTAGACCAACGAGCCGTGCTGAACGCCGGTTGACTAATTACTCAATTTAAAGTAGGCTCAAAAAAAAAAAAATACAAATCTTAGTCATCATTAATTAGAAGACTCTCTTATTTGCTGATCCAGAATGAAGAAAACTAAAGCCAAAAACTTTAGAAGTTACAATCTTGTGGCCAAAACCAACGGACCCGTTGCAAAGGTATACATATGGCTTATCACCACGTCTTTTATATATATCTTTAAAGTTTTAATATATATCTTATATTTTTTCCTGATTCACAACATTTTCGGGGGGCCAGTAGTTAGATAGAGCCAATCAGTTTTGCACCTACATAAGTGATCCCTGATCCTTAAACCGCTTCACTGCCCGTCTTCTCCTTCTTCGTTTGCCAACGACTGAAGGTCCGACACCCACTCCAACACCGATCCCCGGAACAGGAGCCAGTTGCAGCAGGAGAGGATTACTGACCAGGGCAGCGGCGATGCCCAGAACGGTGGCACTGGCCAGCGGAATCAAGAAGCTTTTGGCCAGCAAGGCCTTTGGTGAGATCTCCGGCGTTCCCTTGTGGGAGACTATCTCGTGGGAATCGATGGGGTAGGAGCTGTAGGAGTAGTCCACTGGTGGCCCGGGGTAGTGGCCATGTTCCGGTCGGGGTCTATAGGGGTGGTATGGCACTCCCGCCTCTCCGCTGGAGGAGTAGCTGTGTCCAGGAGCAGGTCCTGGTTCGTAGCCGTGCCCGTTGTATGGGCCATAGTCGTACGGATAGGGGTGACTGTCAAAGGCGAAGCTTTTGCCAGCACTTCCACTGCTGCCATAGTTACCTTAAATACGAATAAAAATATATTTAACAAATTCCATATCGATCATACAGCCACATTAAGCTTTGGTTGTTCCTAGAACTCACCCACGCTTATTCGATCGTGTATATTCCCACCCAATTTCCACTTGTCATAGGCCTGGCTGAGGTTATCATTTAGGCTACCGGCTTGGGGGCCATGACCTCCTCCAACCGGCGGCAGGGCACCAATGGGCTTGGATAAGAAGCCAGCTGCAGTGCTGTCCAGCTTGGCGGTCGATGAGCCCGGTCCGCGGTAGAACTCCGGGGGAGGATCGTAGCTCTTGGCTGCTGCAGAGGCCACGGGTTCCAGTTTCACGATAGCCTGTCGCTTACGCGGCTGCATGGGCTGCCAGGACTCGGATTCCTTGGACGCGTTCTGCGCGGATGCGTGGGCCATGGTTATAAGGAGGCCGAGGCAAAGGCCAAGGGCCGGGAGTAACTTCCCTTTGGACGCGAACATGGTAACTGAGTGCGCCGCCTGCAGGCCGGAGCATTTTATATGGGTCCCGGTGCCATGTCGTCATCGGGAGTGGGTGCTATTACAAGCGCTGGCGACAAATTGCAGTCAGACAATTCCAAACCCTCGCCGCTTGGCTGCTGGCATTGAGACGTCTGCAGTGCGTTTCAGGAGCGATTAGTGCCGCCAGCTTGGAAGCCCTCAAGATTGGGCCACGCGGCTCTTTCCACACTCTTTCATCAGGCATTATATCAGGCGGAGCAACGAGCATGTAGTTGCCAATTTGTCCCTCTCTTGGATTATTGAAATAAAGCGTGCGTACGAGAAACCCGTGGCCCACGACAGGTGGCTCCCAGAAATTAGTGGAGTTATTCGCGCCCTCGGCAAAAGCAAAACAAAAGTCCCCACCTCCGTTTAATTAAATCATTTATCGCGGCTTATTTTTGGAGTTGCTGCTCAGCGAAGGGGAATGAGTTCGTAGGGGCCGGAAAACTTACTTTGCTACAAAAGAAAGTCCAAGCTATGGAAATGCCGATAGGGAAAAGCGTTGCTAGTGTCTCAATTTTGAGATCTTTCACCTTTCAAACACCTTTCCTTTAGAGGACGTGATTTGGGCGACTGCCAAATAGAAACCCAATGAAAAACTTAGGTTCTTTTTTTTAATGGAAGGCCAAGATTAATGTTAATGTAATTAGTTTGATCACGGCGATCATCAGCGCCGCTTCCGATACATTTCTGGCATGTCCTCGGGATCGGAGTCGGACCCAGGCGGAGTTGGCAGATTGCCATCCTTGTCGCCAAATACCAATCGTTCCAGGATCTCAATCTGGAGCTTCAGGATGGCCCTCAGCTTGAACAACTTCTCGCCGCGTATCCGGTAATCCGCACTTTGCTCCTCCGCGGACAGGCGCGCCCTCTTCAACTCCTTCGTGCTCTTTAGGCTGTCACTCTTGGCCTTAATCAGCTCCCGCCGATTGAGCTCTAGTTCCACATTCTCTGCAACAGTATGTCCACGGCGGTTGTACGTCTTTCGCAGGCATCGAAAGGTGGCTCCAAAAATATCAGCATACTCGACGCGCAGAAATTCCAGGAAGGTAATGGACGACCGATGAGACTGCTCCTTTAGGTTCCTGCTCGTCTCGTTGAAGTAGTCATAGATGACGGAGGCGAACACGTTCATCAGGATAATCGCCAGTAGGAAGACTAGCGTCAGGTAGACTATAATCCCTAATATGCGACCTCCATGAAAGAAATCCGCAGGACGAATGTCACCGTTAAAGCCCATGGAGTACCTGGATCCATTAGATTAGTTTATGGTTGGATGAGAGATGGTAGGGATACCTACCACATGCAGGTGACCACAGACTGAACCATGTGGCTGAAGACCACAGAGTTGTTTCCATTCGGCACGGCCAAAGTAATGCCAATGGCCATGAGGACGACCATGATAATTACACCCATACTGACCACTGCTCGCCAGGCGGAGAAGAGGGTGTGGGTGAAGTGCTGGAAGACGGAGGCAAACTGGAGCACCTTCCACAGCCGCAGAGTGGTGATGCACACCAGGAAGCCCTTCACGATGGACAGCAGTTGGTGGAGGCGCAGTGGACGCTGGAAGTCGAGGTACTGCCCCTTGGTGGACGTCTCGACCATCTCGAGCAGCGTGGACGTCTCGATGTCGCGCATTATGGCCAGAACCATCAGGACGACGTTCAGCACACAGATGGTCAAATCCACCATGGTCCAAGCTTCGTGGACGGAAGCCGGATGGTGCCAAATCTTCGAGAGCAAACCGCGGGCGAACAAGATGACCAATATGGTGTGTACAAACAGTATGAACAGCACGAGGTTGCTTCTCGTTTCCAAGCTTCCCAGCATCCTCACAGTGTCCACATGCACCCGGGGTAACTGGATCCCGAATGGAGTGTTCTCCACGCGCAAGGTGATCAACGTGAATAGGTTTGCATCGGCGTTGTACATCGTCAAGTCGATGAACAGAGCCGAAGTGTTTTTATCCAGCCAGTAGCTGGATTGCAGGTATTGGATCTGCTTTACGCAGTTCACCTAGCAGCAGAAAGGTGAATTTACAAAGTGCAAAATATTTAAATATATCTCCTAGCATGATCCAAACCTTTGTGCTCATCATGAGCACCACGTAGCCGCCGACTTCAGGGTAGTTGAGCATATAGCCATGATGATCGTAATTGAGTAGCACGCCATTCAGAAAACTGGGCTCGTACTTGGCCGGCACAAAGGGGTCGTAGATCCGCCAGAATTTCTCCGTATAATGCAACCGGTGGTAGGGAAGAAGCCATTCCGGCGCATACGTGTTCGTGTCCCACTTGGGCGTGCCCAGTCCAATGTGGCAGTTGACAGGACGCACCTGGCGCAGGCGCACCACCCCGATATTCCGCCACTGTTCCATGGCCCACCAGCCCTCGTAGCCGTAGTATTCCGACGTAAAGAAAGCATCGATCATGGTGATATACACATAGCTGTGTACCTAACGGGTGACTTGTGTTAGGACCTTTCTTGGAATATGTATGTATGAATATACAGCAATCCCATTTCTGGGAATTCTTTTATAAATAAGCAATTCAGTGATGGAAGCACCAAAATAATAAGTGTAAGTAACACTTCTCACCTGGTATAAGAAAAACACCTGGGACAGGCCGTAGGTGACCGAGGTATTGTCCCAGAAGAGGCGCTGCATGTTGTGGGTGTTGAAGTAATGACTCTGGTCCTCCTGCAACACCACCAGCAGCATCAGGGCCACAAAGTAGGACCCGTAGAGCAGCAGGTCCCCGGCAATATGCTTGTATCTCTGGTTTAGCGTCTCGTGCGTGTGGCCCTCGGTGATCAGGAGCTCGGAGCGCAGACTGCGCAGCCGGATCTTCAAGTAGCCGATGTGGTTCAGGGTGGGCGCTCCCTCCTCCGGCCGGTAGGGCTGGTCCTCCTGCGGCCAGGTGGCATAGTCGATGCCCAGAACGAAGAAACGAAAGGGCTCTAGGACGAGATATTGGAAAAAGAACACCAGGACGATGGTCACCAACATCGTCTTGAATCTCTGCGGCTCGTGCATGAATCCAGAGAACATTGATACCAGGATGAAGCACACCAACAGCACGGTTGCGGTCACCCCGAAGCACGTTAAGTCCTTGCGGCTGATATTCTTGAAACTCATTTTGACTGGCTTGCTTCGAAATTGCCGCAATCTTTGCTGAAACTCAGTAGATATAAAATCCCCGCTTGCTGCTTCCCAAATTATCAAATTATACCAGATCCGTTGACAAGTCCTTGATCTGGTCATGACCTTCAGTCCGTCTGAGATTAGGCATGCAGATTTCAATTTGCAATTTCCCAATTTCTATAGATATGCCAAGGAATAAATAAGAGCATTCAATGCTTCTTGCACTAGGTGGATTTTATGAAATAGCTTTAATTGACCACCCAATCAACCGATAAAATCGATACTCAATTTGAATACTTTCAACGTATTTGTATTTCGCATTGATAGTTGCCATTTGGTATGTATTGATGTATATTAGGTATAAAGATATATGCACAATCCATTAACTTAGTTAACGTTTCTAAATTAAAGCGGTATTCTTGCGAAAGTTCCTCTTGTATACGTGGAGACTAGGTGCTAGAGTAGATACATAGTTGACTAGACATACCGATACATGTATGTAATGCGTATAATACTGGCTGATCATCCGTAGCCGGTGACTGGCGAGCGCTTTCATACATTTTCGGAATTGACTTTCAGTGGCACGGACCGGGAGACCTTCCGGACAACCTAATGCGACTTGGACACTGAGAACGGAACCCCTTCGGGGAGGAAACACACATACTATATACGGTTAGATACAGGTGGATTAGTTAGTCTGGTTAAGTGTTCCTGTGCTACGACGATTCTGTGCGGGATTAGTTGCTGGGCAACTGGGAGCGCTTGCCCCAGCCGCCGTGGAGCTTCTGCCACTGGTCGCGCTTGCCCCACATGCCCTTCAGGTTGTTCCAGGTGGGTTCGCGCTTGCCCCAGGCGCCCCTGAACTTGTTCCAGCCCTGCGCCTGCCTCCTCTTTCCCCAGGCCACGTTCATGCTCTTCCAGGCCCGCTTCTCCACGTCCGACTCGCCAGCGAGATCATCGAAGTCCTCGCCAGACTGCGATTGCTGCTGGAGTGGCTGCTGCTCCTGCTGCTGCTGCTGCTGCTGTGCGGATGGTCCACTGGCCAGCCTCTCGAAGGTGTCCCAGTCGATGGTGTTGGTGCCATCCGTGATTACCAGCGGAACAAAGTGACCGGTCATGTAGATGTCCGGATCGCTGGCGTCTCCGCTGGATGACCTCTTGCCCCACGAGCTCTGCAGCGACTGCCAGGCGCGCTTGTTGTTGCCGTACAGGTCGCTCTCGCTAAGTTGATCCAGCACCACCTGCTCGGACAGGCCTCCGCCGCCTGGTTCATTGGAGGCTGGGCTGGCAGCACTGCCACTGGCCACCAAATTCGCACAAGCGCTGCCCAGGATGAGGAGCACCATCAGTAATCCGTAAGTTTTCCGCGTCTTAGTGTGAGCCATGGCTGTGGAAATGCAAAAGAAAATATGGACCACGGCTTTAGCAATACACTTTAACAGCAATTCATTTGCTGCATTTAAATGTTCAATAGTTTAATAATGAAGTATACGTTCCATCAGGGTCTCTAAATACGATTGGTTCACTTTAATTTGAGCCAGTTCGCCGAAATAGTACACTTCACTTATATTCTACTTTAAAATATTGCTTTAATTGCTTACATCATTAAAACTAAAATAAATTGAATGAAACTTAAAATACAAGTATGAGCTATCAAAACTATAGTATAAACTATTCAAATTGTATATATCTTGCAAGTAATAGATCTTAAATTAAGGAGAATCAAGTTTTACCATTAACTAACATATATAAGAAAGTTCGGTTTATTTGCAACCAAAGGGCGAACGAAATTGCTCTCAGTGCAAAGGTGTAAATATGAATGAATAAATGCCTGACGAAAGACTGATCCTGATGAGCAAGCACAACCGCACTGGCGGAATGCTCAATTAAGTCGCTGCCGACGCCACTCGACTGCTCCCTGGGGGTCCCGGCAAGTCCTGGAGAGTCCTGGAGAGTCCTGCGGCAATCATTTCCGCCCGCGCCTCGGAATTACTGGAACACGCGCCAGAACAAGGAGCGAGCGGGAACAAGCGTAGCGATTTAGCTAAATAACCTCTCTAATTGAAAGCGGTGGGGGCCGCCGGGTGGGCGGGATTGGGTGGTGCCCACCTTGGGCAGCATTACTGGGGTCATGCCGTCTGCCGACCGCTGCGTTAAAAGGCAGCAGCGCATAACAGTTACAATTTATGGTCTATTAATGTCCTTTCGGAGGTAGCAACCAGCGGGGTTACTGGGAGTAGGCATTTCAGGAATGCTAGTAGGCCAAACAATGGGGGGCGTGGGGCGTGGGGCGGAAAGCCAATGTGCAGATGATTGGCAACTGGAGAAGGGAGAATCCCAGTCGATAATGATGCCTTAAAACGTTGATATGCCGCCCCGCAGTCAAGATTATGGTGCTGTTTACGCACTGGCTTAAGTGCCTTGCGATTGCACTTGCGGCCACTCGACAGACTAGACAAAAGCCGGAGGAAAACTCACGGAAAATTCAGTGGGTGTGGCCGTGGGTGTGGGTGTGGGTGGGTTTTGGAAAAAGCAGCGCTCGTTTGTTTGCACTTCCTCCCAAAGCAGTTTTCCCTATGCGTTCGCATGAGCGCCGCCACCATATAGATTTGCATACATTCCAGCATTAGCTGTCAACAAAACCACATCCTGTTTAAAGGACACTCCAAGAAGGCGGAAACGTCGGCGTATTATGTTTTCATTATTGCGTTTTCGCAGTCCACATGCACAGATATTATTAAATCCCTTACTATAAGTGTTCGGTTGGCATGGTTTACATGTCTGATGGGCCTCAAATAAATACTATTAGCTTTCGAACTGAAAAAGATCGATCCCAAAAGTCCTTATCAAAATTATAATTATTGTTGGTTGCATTCTTTTTAATGTGTTGAAACAAGTTAGCTACCTATGCAACTTGTAAACCTTCAAATGATAAAAAGAATTTGTTAAAGATATGGAAAACCGATCACTGGAGGACGTGGTTAAATGAATCTGAAGTAATGGTAAGCTACCAGTATATGTCAAATACCGAAAAAATTGGCTACAACTATCCCTAATAGACAAATCTAATCCCCTAACTGCCCGTTTCTATTGGAATTAGCACGTTTGCCGTAATCCCCGTCCGATTTTATGGTCATTGCGAGTCGGCAGCAGCTGGTAGGCGCCAACATGGAAAGCCATTAGCCGGGAATCAACTAGCGAAGCCCACCGAAATCGGAGCCACTGGGGGGCAGGACGTGGAGATGGTATCTTATCTGGAAGGTCGCCTGATTAAATGATGTTGCTGGCCGCCCGCTTGGATTGGCCGACTAATTGAGAAGCGTCGGCGGTGGGCCAACCGGTTACTGGATGCGAGTACGGATATGTCCCCTTGCTCCTGGCCAAAACCAACGACTCCTGACTGATTGTCCGAGTGCGGAGTTGGCCGCTTTTTTCCGGCTTAGCCAGGACTTAATTTGTGCGCTTGTCGTTGATTGATTGACGCCGCCCAGATGAAAGTTTTGGCGGCTTTGCGCCAAATTATAATATATAGCCACCGCGATGATAGCGCACGCATCGAATTTTATGACCTCCCCCCGTGGAGAAGATAGAATTGTATTGAGTTGGGGGTTGGGGGCTGAGGGTGGGGGTCAAGAGGCAGGCAAACGTGCCGGGTCAACTTGTAATTGAAATTAACTGAAAATATTTATGGCCCATGCGGCTGACATTCCTCCGAATTTGGTAGTTGACTTGCTCTGCTCCATTATTAATTCGCCAGCCTGTTGCAAAATAATTCATGTGGTGTCAGGACGAAAGAGATATCCTTCGTCCTTATGGCGACTGCCTCAAGTGTGGCAAGCAAATTTTCGCGCCAAAATTAAACAGCTTGAAAATCGAATTTGGCAGCTCGCCCACTTTCTGCATGTCTCGATAAATAGCTCGGGCAAATATTTGCCAAAGGATGGCATTCGCCAATAAGTATTTTGTTTAAATAGGTTTCCTGCCGGCACCCACGCTCTTCTCAAGAACTCGTCGCCTGTTGCCGCTGAGTGCGAATCGAAGTATTCCCGGGCACATGGACATTAACGAAAAGTCGTAAATAAACAAAATATCCGCAAAAGAGTAATATACTGCTCGTCTCAAGCAGGTTAGCCGTGGGACTCCTGTTGTTTGTCACTTCAATTTCCATGGGTTTGTTGGGCCAGGGAGTTCTGCATAATTTGGACATGTTTCGCAAATAAATTTACGCTGATGAGTGTTCTACTTTTCAGGCCGCAGCCTATTTTAAAATTTTGTTGTATTTCAAATTGTGAACAAACTGTGAGGCAAATATGGGGTTCGCTTCATTGGGTTTTAATAAATAGTTAAAAGGGCACAGTTTAAAATGGCCACACAAGGGAAACTCAGAAATTGTTTGGAAATAAATGACCTTCATTGGTTAGTTATTAATTCACGATATTAAAGTAGGGTTGCAGCATTTACTCTTGCTTTAAATATAAGTACAAATTTTGCCAGGATTCCTTAATTCGGAATCAGAAAAATATAACTATTAATGCATATAAGTTCGTATTCTCCTATTTTTAAAAAATATGAAAAAATGCAAAAATGGGTCTCCATTTTCGAACGCATTTCGTAATGTATTTATCTTCAAATAATAACTAGGTGTACGGTTTTGAAAAGGTTTGCATAGCTTGTAGGAATTTGCACTTTTCCGAAATATAAAGAAACCCAAATTGTTTGGAACTACAATTGGGAACTATTCAATGAATTCGCGCAATTCAAAATTTAAGAGTCAAACATATTTCAACTAGAACAATTGACCACAAGAGTTCACTTTGGAATTCATTTCCTGGGCCTTCAAATCGAGTTATGAACATATTGAATATTGAATATCGAACGGAGCACTTACCTGAATATATCTCCGCGCGACTTTAGCGTACGAACTATTGCTGAGGCCAGCGGAAACTGCGGCCGGAGTTTAACAATTTATTTCGGGTTTGCTGTGCACTCTTTTATAGAATTTTTCCCGACTGA